CATGGTGGGCCAGACTGTAAAGTGATGGGTGGGCTGATTCCACCCAGTTTAGGTGGCAACCTCCTGCTGTGAAGAACCTGTGCTTCTGGCCTAACAATGTCCATCTCTCCTTGCTGAGGTTAACCCCTCAGAGAGCTGGAGATTATATCTCCTTTTGTCCATGCCAGCAAGAGAGAATTCCTTGAAGATCTTGACCAGGAAAAGGAAGTGGGAGAGCTTAGTAAAGATGTAGGATTCCCAGTGTTAGGGATCGAATGACTGTCTATGGCTAGCTTACTGTAGAGGCAAACACGTTTGACTGTCTGAGGTAAACAGAGAATGGCTTTTGTTCTTAAGTCAACTCAGATCTTGAACTCAAAGGCGAGATCCTCACCTCTGAGGGGTGGGGCAGGAAGTGCTCTGGACAACCATGGACTTGTCTTACTATCAGTTTATACTGAGTTTTTTTCTGTTTTCGAAAAGCCATTGTGTGTGTTTGTAATTTGGCAGATTGCTTGTGGTGGCATATTATCTCACAGAAAATATAAGGCACATGTGTGATGCCTAACGGCCCCACTTAAAACAAGCTAAAGAAACAGATAACAGTTTTAACAATCCATTTAATTCAGTTTGTTCAAATATTATTTCTACATGCAATTCATATTCTAAAAAATGTTTATAATACATTTACTTTTGTTACTTTCTTTTTGGTAGTAAGTCATTAAAATCGAGTGTCTTTTATACTTATCAGCATGTTTCAGTTGAAGAGGAGACACTCAAGGCCGTGCTTTTTGCTATAGCGCATTGAATGTTGTCAGTTATTCTTGTTTGTATAATAAACCATCCAGTGATTACTAGTTTCATTAGGTCATTCAGTGATAGGTTATTCAATCAGTATTACTGTTATTTTTATTTGAAGAAATACTTTTTAGTGTCATGAACATTGCTTACTGAAAAGTATTGAAGAAATGATTGCCCCCCCCACCCTCCACCTGTAAAATGGCATTAGTACTCATACTTAGAAAAGAAAACAAGTAGCAGTGTTTGAGAGCCGCATCTCAGATGACCTAGATGTATTGCACATGCACACACCACACACACACACACACACACACACAATCATTTGCATTTCAGATGGGAGAATTTGAGTCTTGGAGAGCTTCACAGACTTATGAACAGTCAGTGACTCAGGTAGAATGACAGGGGCAGGATTTGTTTGACTCCAGGGCCGCCTGCCTTCCACCCCAGGGCTTTTCATAACATCTAACTATCTTCCCACCGGTGTGTTCACATAGCCATGGTTGCTACAGAGGCTGGAGCCATGGCTTTTTAGGATGCATGCCCTCCTTCAGAACTATGACAATGAACATGGCCGTTTCAGTGTCCTAACAGATAGCAGGCAAGCACTCGTCTCTAGGGGAAAGAGCCCTGTTTCCTGTCTGCAATGACAGAGGACAGCATATGTCCTGCTTGCCCGAACTAGTCATGATTTTTAGTAAATGGCTGGGGCCCAAGTGCCTGTCTTCAGATTAAACTACCTGCCTACCTCCAGCAATTGTAAAAGGCTTAACAAGGCTTATGATCAAAAGGTCCAAAGTTCTCCACTTGATCATCTGGAAATGGGTCTGTGCAACAATAAAAGAAAAATAATGCCGTAAGCTCAAATACTGGGCTGGAGCCCGAGGGTTCCTTTTATTTTCTCTTTCTTGTGACCCTTTAGAACTTATAACTGTGTTTAACTTTATGCTGCTGCTTTTTTATTGCAATTGCTTCATTCTTGCCACTGTTAAATTTATTTTTGAAGCATTTTGTAAATGCCCTACCTTTCTTTTTCTCTCTTCTTCCTTTGCTCGAAGACAGTAGTGGGACCAGCTGAGGAGTTACTTCTTTGTGAGGTACACATTTCTTCTTGCCGTGTGTTGTGCTTCCCTGGGGAAGACCTGTTTTCAAAGCCTTTTGAGGCCCATGCCTTAATTTTAACTTCAATTACACCAGTTTGCTATTTTTCACTTATTTCACCATTTTCATTAGTAATTGCATCAGGTTTTTATATCTTTTTTTTTTTTTTTGGTTAAAAATAGAATTGTGTTATAAAACTATAACTGTTGAATCAATCAAGGACTAGTAAAAAGATTAATTTTTCTAGTGATGGACTACAGCCTATTTCAATATCTGTGAACCTGTGTATGTATGTGTGTGTGTGAGTGTGTGTGTGTGTGTATGTATGTATGTATGTGTGTCTGTGTATCCATTGTCCATGCGTGCATGTGCATGCCTATGTGTACCCATTGTGTGTGTGTGCTCAAGTGAGCGTGCATGTGTGTGTGCAGTGTGCGTGTGCATGCATATATAGGTTTGAAGTTGGTATCAGGAATTTCCTCTGTCATTTTCCACCTTACTTTTGGAGGCAGGGTATCCCGTTAAACCAGGAGCTTGCCATTTTGGCTAAGCTGGCTGGCTAGTAAGCCCAGGATCCTCCTGCCTCCCGGCCCTCAGTGCTGCAGTCACAGACACATGTGCCACTGGATATGGCTTTATATTGCTGGGCATCTGAACTCTGGTCTTTGTTCTTACAGCAAGCTCTCAGCCATCTTATTTTTTAGGTAGGGGAGATGTGTAAGGGGATTGGCGGTTGCTTTTGACTAGAAGGAGTCACTGCTATTGTGCTAGCCAACAGTTGTTCCCTCCAATCACAAACTAAAATGTTTAGGAAATAGCTTTCCCATATTGAGAGTTATAAAATATTAGTGTCTTACATGTTAGAGACACCTCAGATTTTATGTTGTATTTTGTATTTAACTGTTACTTTGAAATTAATAGGACCTTTTCAGCCAGTCCAGACTTACTTAGTCATGGGTGAATGCTAGCTTATAGAGTAGCTAGATTCATTTAAAGGCCTTATCTGTGGTCCCCAGATGTGTGACATGTACATGTTGACATTAGGAACTGCACATGGATTTTCAGCACTGAAACCTCTGTAGACACAGGTATTAGGCAGCTTATGGCACTACTGGCTACGTGGCTGTGTGTGAGCATATGCTTAAATCACTAGAGGTAGCAATGAGCCTGCTTCCTTTGACAAAGATCATATACCAGTATGTAAGAGTTAAAAGGTCTAAATGGGGCTATTCCCTGCCGGGAAGGGCTCTCCTGGATGGGCTGTATAAAATGCCATTATGCTTGCTTAGAAAGGTTTTACAGTGCTTCCAGCTACAGTGTGGGCAGAAGCCATAGCAGACTTGTTCTTATCTGTATCTATGGAGTGGTGGGTGATACCTGACACATAGTAGGTGCAATCAATAAATGCTATACAAATGAATGATAGGAAGATAATGTGGGAGATGTCTAATTCATATTATTCATTATGTATCTTAATGTATTTGGGAATAATCTCCCATAAACAAATACTTCATAGACTAGTGATGGTTACCAAGGAAAACAGCACTATGAAGCACTACACTAAATCACCTCCTTTGCCTAAAATTTGACCTGCCTCACTGCTACCTTGCATTTTCCGTGGAGCTGTACTAAGGATGAGTTTTCTGTGGGGTGTAATGGTGGAGTCAAGGGTTGCCCCAAGTGTGGTGTGGTGAGACACGCTGGGCTGTTGCTCAGGCTTAATAATAATTACTAAGATCTTTAATGATAGCAATTCTTAATGAGTATTATTATTGTTAATAATGATATTTAATAATTATACCCAATACTTATTATCTTTAATAATAATAATTAGCACATGGGAACCAGTTGTACCATTGTATTATCTTTAGAACAAAACCCTGAGTCTACGGCCCAGGAGTCTGCAGAGTGCTTGCTTTTCACCTCTGCTTTCCAGATCCCAGTGAGTCAGGAGGCATCTGGGGTTAGGGCATGGACAGCTGCTTTAAGCCTTCTATACATCTGTGCATTGGGCCTGTCCCCAGTCATGTTACAGGGGTCTTGTTTTCATTATGGAGTGCCAGTACTAAGGCCATCACACTCTTCCCACCCTCCCTCTGCCTGCCTATGCCTCCTTCATAGCTTTTGTGTTTTGTTACACAAAGAAAAGACTCAGAGCAGACTCTCATTCCATAACGTACTAATTTGTGTGAATTACGCAGGGTAGAGTCCATGTTTATCACTTGTCCACTGGTAAATCTTTGATCTTCTTTTGTCTGCTATGTTTAGATTTAAATGTCTGTGTGACTTTTTTTAAAAAATAAAAAAAAATTAGTTTAAAAACTGTTTAGTGAATTAAACACTTTTTAGGCTTTTCACACTTTGATACAAAGCAGAGAAATATTTCGGTGACAACCAATTTCAACAGAGTTTTCAAATAGACTAATTTGCTTTATTCTTTAGGGTCGTTTATTTATTTTTTTTATCTGCAAACACTAAAAAGTATTCTGTCCAGGGATAACTCGTGTTTGTGTATGAAATAATTCCAAGGAAATGAAGTTTGCATTTAGCTGTATGTTTTATATTAGTTCAACATCAGTTGAGGTTTTCATGATCTGTACTTTTTTCAAGCCAGCTTGATGAGTTGTCTACTGAATCCTAGAAGAGAACTGCTTTTGAAGTCCCGGTGACTTTCCTGTATACACTCACATAGCCTTTCAGGCCTGGAAATCTAACATGCCTCCCTACTGGGTGCTATAGACCAGCAGCATTGAAATACATTTCTGGACAAAACCAGAGATGACCTGTCTTGATAAGACAGACATTAGAGGTCATAAGGTCACCTTGACCTGGCTATGTGCTAAGACACCTCCGAGTGTAGCTGACCTTTTGATCACTGTAGTTTGAGATCTCCCGCCCCTCTCCTCAGCAATGCTGCTGCAACAGGACTGTCATTATAGAGAAGATCCAGCTCTCCTCACCCAAAGCCTTGCACAGGGCACATAACTATCAGGCTGTTCATCCTGAACTGTATGTGTGATCCTAGCATACTAACTTTGAGAACTGTCCCGTCCCTTTTTCTCGTCCTGTGGTTCTGATTGCCTTGTAACACCATGTTCTGCTGTCGGATTGTGTCTTCCCAGGTCTGATGATTCCAGTCTTCTGTGTGGTAGAGCAGTTGGATGGCTCTCTTGAATACGACAATCGAGAAGAGCATGCTGAGTTCGTCTTGGTGCGAAAAGATGTGCTTTTTAGCCAGCTGGTGGAGACCGCGCTCCTGGCCCTGGGGTATTCCCACAGCTCTGCAGCTCAGGCCCAAGGTATTTCTTCCTCTCTCTTTCCTTCCTAGCCTCCTGTGTGATCTGAGGAAGTATTGGTTTTTCCAAAAAGAGCTGTGAAGCGATTGTTGGATGCTGTACCTGACAGCAGGCCTCAAAAATCATGCAGGATCTTGTTTTCTTGTTCTGTGAAGGATTTGTCCAGTGCCTTGAAAGCCACCCAAACTGACTTGTATTTTAAAGCAATTGTCATGTTTTTGCATTTGTAATTCTGTTATTTTTGTTAAGTCAGCAAATTGGTGTTTTCGGGCTCAGTGATGAGATATTTGCCCCCTGACTTACCCAAACTTGGATATATGATTTCTAAGCATATGAAATTTATTTGTTTACTGCCGTGGGTTTATGGTTTCCGCAGTTTGCCATCAGGGTTTAATTAAACAGAAAACAGAGTTGCATCTTATCCTTTTGTACCTTTCAAAACTGTTCTACAGTTTTGATGAAGTCCATTCATTTAAAAAAATCAGTTTCTTTGTAATCACTCATTTTTACCTATTCAATTAACTACTAAAGTTGCATTGTTATATTGATAATCCCAGGGAGTTTATGTGAGCTTCTCTTGTTTCTTTCCAAAGCCTAGTCCATTGTTCTGTTATGCCAAAGATGCAGCAAAACAAATAATAACAGTATTCCTCAAACCTTGAATAATGGGGAAAGAAAACTTGAGCCTGTAGAATTATTGTCCTTGTTTTTCAGATGAAATGACTGAATCACATAGTTTATGGTAATAGTTATAAATAAAGGTGAGACATTCATAACATCCCTGTCTCACTTTATATGCTAATTTCCTGTCATCATTCGTACCTTAACGTTGTTGTGATTCCCAAGATTTCTTGCTATGTCTTGAATGTGGCTTCATGTCATTCTTGAGAGATCCGTTGGCTTCAGTGCTTCTGGTAAGATAACAAGGGGAGATCAGGTGAAGATAGAGCTACACAAACTGAGATAGAGTCTCAGACTTTGAAGCTCTTCCCTCTGATTCTATATGCACATTGGTGCTTTATAAAAGGTAGACTTTGTTTAAATTATAGAGTAGTTTTACCAAGGTGGTCAAACATATTTTCCCAGGTGAGTGTACTCTACGTCCATGTCCTGTGTGTCTCAGTGCAGAAACCTGCCCTTGGCCAGGCTCGGTGCAGAGACGGCAGCTGAACTGTGGAGTCCACTGCTTTCCTAGCAGCATAATAAAGGATAGTTTTCTTTTTTTCCTTGAAAACTTTCTTTCTGTGTGAGGGATTCAGGCTTTGATTCCCAACAAATTGTATATTGAACACCGCTTCTTTTATTTTAGTGTCCAAATGAATTAAAAGAAGTGTTGCCCAGTCCCGAAAACTTTCATGCCCTTTTAGGGCTATTTTTCCTTCGAACGTAAAGGTCACTGTATCCTACTGCTTGCATTCTGGCATTCGAGCTTGCTGTTTGACAGGGCTATCTATCTCAGTTAGCATGGCTGCTCAGTGCATCATGAGATCATATGTGGAACACAGAGCGCTAAGTGGCCAAGATTTGATTCTTGGCACAAGCTAAGGAAGGGACTCTCAGGAAATCTACACCAGGGAACTCCACCGACTCTCAGTGATGTGAACTGAGAAACTCCACTCCAAGATGAGCCCTGCAAGCAAGCAGTGACTGCTGTCTGCTGTAGAGCATAAGGAGGGGGCAAGCCAAAAGTAACTATTTGCTTGCTTAAAGTTTCTGAAAACTAAGCTTAAAAAATAATACATATTATATATATTTGTTATTTTTTTGGTTAAGGTGAATCAACTTATCAAAAATACTGTCTAGATTATGTTGTGGGGAAAAGAAGGTTTATCACTATAAACCCTACAGAGTTACAAAAATATCAGAATTTGCTTGTTTTTTTCTTATGCTGATGACCTGTTTTGAATAAATGGGAAAACTTAGAATTGTTCATATTTTTAAAAGGTGTATCCTTTTTTGTCATTTTGATGATTAGAAGGTTAAATACTCTTTTATGGCTAAGTGGAAAATCTTGAATAACGTTTTTGGAATAAATATATTAGATTTTTCTTGTCATTCAGATGGTTGGAAGATGTTTAGGGTAGATGGAAAAGCAGGGTCATTCGTTCCCCTGAAAGGCTGTATTAGGTCTCGGTTGTCACCGAGGCGAAGGGGAGCATGCAGCCTGCTGCCTACGTCGCACAACTTGAGTGGTGTGTTTTATGTGCTTTACGAGTCAGGTTTTTCATGAATTGGACACATAGCACCGCTAGTCTAGTAGAAGAGATGGGCGTGCACATGTTGTCTTGTGACTGAGGCAGAAGGCTTTATGTATGCAGTTTCTGTTTTCTTTGTTTTTTTCTCCCACACTTTTGTAATTTTCCCAAAGTAGGGGAGTCAAGGGAACCTTCTGGCCAATCCAATGACAAAGGAAATACTGCGGTGTCTCTGAGTTTTGTATTCCTGTGCTGGAAGTGTGAAGGACACCCGAGCTGCAGGGATAGTGGGTTGTTTGTACCTTTTAAAAAATTGGTGCTCTTGGAAAAGGATTTTTCATTTTGACATGGCCAGAGAAGGTTCTTGGTGATTGACTTAGGAGAGCAGTAGAAGTGCAAACATGTTTGCAGTGTGATTTTGGGATGATGCTCCCAGGCAGGGCTGTACCCATCAAGTCCCAATCAGGGGCTTACCCATGCTTCTGTAAGCACGAGATTGTCAATTTCTTTCTCTGAGAGGGTATTCCCTCCAGGTGAGCTGCAAAGATTTTTACTTATTTGCTTCTAAAGGGTAATAGAAATTCTATTGAAACAGAGTCCAGGGATTCCCCAGCCCACATTTGCAAAATATTTATTAAAATGCTGAATATTGGCACTAGAGAAAAAGGCACCAGACACTGTCATAAATCATGGGAGCTATGTTTCTAGTTGACTTATACTTTCCATTTACCAACACACCACTAACTGTGTGACTCTCAGTGAGACGTAGGGTTCATCTGATCTGCTATTGAACATATGTACAAAGCTGGATTGGTAGACAGAGGTCTCAGTGCACACACCTGCACTGTCTGACACGCTGTGAGCCCCTGTCTCTGCATCAGAGGTCTTAGAGTAATTGAAAAGAGAATGTGGGGGGTTGTCAGAGCCTCCTTCCCCTCATCTTAAACTTGCCATTCTTTTTATTGTTCCTCTGCCAACCTTTTGACTTTGTCCCACGAGGCTTTCTGTAGCATCCACGAAGCTCCCACACTATCCGGAGACTCTTTAGTCACTGGTCACCCAGCAATCTTACTTGCCAACAGGATGGCTTTGATAGGAGACAGCTGCTGTGGCAAGATGGTGTCCCACTGTGCATAACCAACTTAATTTGCAAATGGCCATTTTACTTATAGTGTTCTTCACTCATTAATTTAAAAAATAAAATTAATTGAACATTTTATTTTATGCATATGAATGTTTTGCCTGCAAATATGTATATCCACTACATGCATCTTACTGCCTGTAGAAGTCAGAGGAATCAGATTCCTTGGAACTGGACTTATGGATGGTTGTAAGCCACCATGTAGATCCTGGGCACTGAACCCAATCCTGGATCAGAGGAGCAGGCGCTCCTAACAGCTGAGCTATTTCTTCAATCTCTAAATTGTACTTCTGTCTGGTAGATTTTTATTTAAAAATACACACTAAACAATAAGTAAGTGACAGCCCCCCTTAGCCAGTTATCTTTGTTGTCAAGACTGTATGTTTCAGAAGGGGTGTACTAATCACTGTTTCTCATTTATCTTGCAATAATTACATTTGTGAAGTGATTTGAAATGATTTTTTAATGGCACAGAAAATTTTATTTAGTAAATGTTATGTGACTCAACCATGGTGCCAAGTAGCCTCAATTACATAAAATTTCACATATGTGCAGAGAAGAAAGTCAAATAAAGTACATTATCTGTAAATGGTGTGGGTGTAGGATTATGGAGGATTCCTTTTCTTCTAATGAGAATGAAAATAAGTATAAATTCTACTTCCTTCTCGAATTCTCTGAATAGGTAGGAAGTTGTTACTTCCATACTCCCATGTTTTGTTAAGTAGTTCCTTTGTTCCTATCTGTAAACTCGGACACTCATACATTAAACAGGTACGTCTCTGCTGCCTTGTCCAGTGGGAGATTAGGAAAGAACCAGCATGCTGTTTTCACCCTTGGGAATGAGATAAACAATTTCTCAGCATAATGATGCTCAGAGCAGTTGAGCAAGTGCTGTATCAGACACCGTGCTGGGAGATACGGTGGTGTGTGTCCTGGTTCCGTTAGTCAGCATAGCAGTCCTTTGAAGGAAGGCAGTTAAGTTACCCAATGTTTTCCATTCTACATACGGAAGCTGAGGCAAAGGAAGAGAGAGCAGCCATTATCGCTGGGGCATAGGCTAATAGGTGGGGACCTGAGGTGGCAAGCCCAGTGATGTACCTGAAGGCTCTGAGCCAGGGATGAACCTCAGCAGATGTAGAATCAGGCTAGAGTCCAGCTAACTCCTCATCTTTAATGCCTGTCACAAGTTAGTGCTCTTTCAACTTTTGGAAGTAAAGAGATGGAGGGAAAATGTTCTTTTCAATGAGCTTACATTTGCTCGATTATATATAAGAAATTAAGCATGTAGAACTGTTCAGTTGTTTTTTGACCCTCTGAGCTCAGAAATATACCACAGTAATATTGAGAGACTACAAATATATGTACAATTTATTTGTTTGGTGCTAATTTACTTATTTTTAGACTGAATTTATTTATTTTATTAATATTATAATGTTAATTTAATTTATGTTTGGTGCTTAGTTAAGTTGTTACTGCTTAAAAATTTGCAAGAGTTCCTTGTTGTCTATTGTTGGAAGCAGATAGCAAGGTCGGACACAGGCATTAAGTGTCCTCGAAATCTTTGCTTCATAAGAGAAACCGACATTTGTCAGTTCCTTACAGTGTTTTCAGGGTCTTCCTCTCTGGCTTTGGTTTTTAATGTGGTAAAGCTCTTTCTGTCTCAGGCA